ATAAATGTTCAACCTAGATTTGCCAGTTCTGTGAAGCATCTGATTGTGGCCACAGTCAATCCTGTCTGTTTTAAATAAATGCTGTATCTCTTAGGAGTTCTGTTATAAGGTATTTTACACATCACTTCCTTGCCAATTTTCATAATTTATTTATTGCACTGCAACAAGAAACCTTTTGGTCGTCACTAACATAATAGAATCCTGATAGTTTTAAATTATTCATTGGCAGGTTCCTTCTAAATCTTGACTTTTACTCAAAAAGATATAAACAGCTGAGGTATAAGTTAGTTATTTTATCAACTTCGCAGGATCTAATTAAGCTTTATCGGGGTTAATTTATTGACCTAGTCTCATAGAATGTGAAGCTATATATTTGCCGAAATATTTATGTTGATTTGGTGGTTTACAGGCACTAAACAAATGTAAGTTGGAAACATGTTTAGGTGATGCAACATTCATGGCTTTGTTCCGCTTATTTAAGAGGTTTTCTCGTGCCGCAACTAATGCTTGCCAAATTATGTGTTCGTCTAAACCAGCTCATTTCCCCCGCCAGCACCGACTTCAAATTTCAGTTGTCGCAGTCATGAATCCCAACTAACAAACTTTATTTCACTAATCTTGATATTTTTCTGATCACGTAAATGAACTTCGTGCTTTGCCTGCTTCTATCCGAAAGCTTACTCTCGCTCCGTGAATTCGATCCATTTTTATACCATTGTATGCATTAGATTTAGGCAACAAAACAGAGCCTAACAGATTTATCTCAGTGGTAAGTTTCGTAGGGGTTGTATCTTAAGATGAAGCTACCACACACAAACATTGCTGTACTCGTGGATCATCCTTGCAGGATACTTTTCACTCGCTTGACATGTCGCTACAGTACTACTTAGATATAAACTTTTCTGCACTGCTAACATTTTCTGTCAGTGTGCTTGAGAATATGCATTCAAAATCATTGATCTTGTCGCATTTAATCCTATGGTACTTCTTGATATTCCTTTTCAACTATTATAAAAATCATCGTCACATAAAATTGTCTCAAAAAATAACCTAATCATCGTTAAAAGTGTGAAAACAAAATGGTGATCTGCTTAATATTTCATTTATTCGACTGACACTTTGGTAAACAATAATCTCGATAAGTTAATTGT